GACAGAGCGAAGTTTAGGGCTGTTGTACATAGGGTCGCTATGAGTTGCCAGCGACTCAATGGCACATAACAACAACAACAACATATTATATAAATTATATATACATAATAGTTTGGAGAAATCCCTGAAAATTAATGTATATGTGAATTTATTCCTTGCCTAAGGATTGAATTTTAGGACAAACACTTCTATCTTTTAGGGAGAAAGTATGTATCCTAAAAAATTGTAATTTATCATTGTCATAGGTCTACCACTTAAGGAGGACGGACTGCTGAGGGAATTTGTAGGGAGTTATGCTGCAAAAATGTTGGATTACAAAGGCTGAGTCTCTCTGATGGTTTGAGTCTACCAGCAGCCCCTCAGGAAAAAAGTATATAGGTAGATATAGAGATAGATAGATGATAGATAGATAGATAGATAGATAGATAGATAGATAGATGATATAGATATAGATAGATAGATAGATGAGAGATAGAGAGATCTCTATATCTATAGGTAGGTAGGTAGGTAGGTAGGTGGGTAGATAGATAGGCAATCTCTCCTGGTGTGATTTACAGCTTTGGACACCCTCTGGTGGGCTTCGAACCTCTGGGAGTCAAAGTCACTGCTATGACTGTGAGTTAGCTTCAACTCAACACCAAAGACCGACTTGACTGCACAACGAGTCCTGAGGGCACAGTGGCTAAACGCCGGATTGCAAAGGAAAAGGTTGGTGATTGGAATGCACCTAGCAGTTGCTCAGTAGCAAAAAGATCTGAGAATCTGCAACTGTACAAATTACAGCCTAGAAAATCAGAGAGAGGAAGTTCTACTCTATCCTAAAGGGTCTCTAGGAGTAGGAGTTGATTCTTTGCTGTACAACACCACTAGGTGTTTACCAAGTGACTCCATATTTTTAGTATGACTTTATCTCACTGTTTTAGACTCTGCATGAATGGTTAAACTGAAACAAAGGACTAGAAGTTGAAGCCCTCAATTAATTTAAAAGTTGTTGTTATTAAGTACAATTAGTTGAAAGACGATGGTGGTTGTTAAGTACCCCTGAGTCAACCACAACTCCTAGTGACCCTGTAAACAATGTTCTGAGCCCTGCACTATCCTGTGCTATCCTCAACATCTCTGAAACATGCAAGCCCACCATTACAGTCATTTTACCAATCCATTGCGATGAAAGTCTTCCTCTCTTTCACTGACCCTCTACCTTTCCAACCATGATGTCCTTTTCCAAGGACTGGCCCTTCCTAACAACGTGTTCAAAGTATATGAGATATTTCACTATCCTTGGCTTCAAAGAACATTGTGGATGACCCCTTTTCTAAGACTTTTAAAAGTGGAATTCCAATGAAGTCAATGAACTCTGCTTCTAGGCTTCCTCGGTTGTGGGTGTTCTCTGCTTTCCTTCTTAGTAAGATGGGGAAAGATTCTTGCTGAATTTCTCTGAGTCCTTGATAAACACTCCCTAAATGATCTTCAAAGAAGATGCAAGATGAACACAAATTTCATCTCATCAGAGCTCCTTTTTAAACACCGTCTCCTCTTCAAACACCATTCTGTTTTGTAATGGACTAAGCTATGAAAACCACAAATATTTTTCTTCTTTTTTTTTCTTTTTTAAATTGTATTTTACTATTTTGTGCATGTGTACCGCCAAATTGAATCTGACTGGTACAGGAAGAGATTACCTGTCTTTCTCCACCAGAGTATCTATTGGATTTAAATGGCGCACCTCTGGCATTGCAGTGCAGCTTCTTGCCACTAGGCCACCAGAGCTCCAAATATTCTTCTTCTATAGCCTGAAGCCCAAGTCCAGTTCCATTGATTTTGAGTCCTGATGACCCTTCCACCAGATTCCCAAGATAGGTTGACACAACAGGAGCAGATCAGATGCCTCCTCTTTCTGCCCTAGTGTGACAGATGGTTTTGAACTACCAGCCTTTCAATTAGCAGTTGAACATGTGGCACATTATACCACCAGCGAGTGTTTCCCAAAATTGAAGATCATGATGTCTTGTTTACCCTCTGAAATTTTGATTCCACTGGTTGGAATATGGCCTGGTCATCTGGATTGTTTTAACCATCCTCCAGGGAACCCTGATGCATGATTAAAGTCAAGGAGCACTTACAGTGTAACCTAGACCGAGAAGAAGTGTAATGTTCCCAGCCTGACTGGACATTACTGAAGCAAGAAGTGTCAGGTTTCTGTGTAAAGTAGGCCCTAGTCAGGCCTGATGAGACCCTGGATTAGGCCCCGGAATCAAAATGCCTTATAGAGTTTCTCACATGGTAGTAATGCAACTTGCTTTTGGTTGCCTGCATTCTTCTCTCCTTCTAGGATTTAGCCTGTTTATGACCCTCAGGGAGGAGAGCTAACAGCAAGAGTAGGTGTCTCCTTCAGCGAGATGTAAAACAACCAAACAAAAGACTTAAATCTGTTGCCATCCAGTTGAATTCTGAACCACAAGGACCCCATAAAAATAGACAGAACTGGCACAGTGCTTGTAATAATGGGCTTGAGCATAGCGGAGATAGTAAAGATGTTGCAGGATCAGGCAAGCTTCAGATTTGTTGTTTGTTGGGTTGCTATGAGACCAGTTATGCACTATGGGAGCGCTTGTGGCCTAGTGGCAAGAAGCTGTGCTGCAATCCAGAAGGCATGCGATTCCAGTCCACCCACTGCTCCGTGGGAGAAGGATGGACAATCTCCTCCTGTGCAATTAACTGCCTCTGAAAACCTGCCAGAGGTTCAGCTACGTGTTGGTTCCTACTCTATGTTACACAATAACATGAGACTTGTTAGCATCTAACAACAACATAACCTTTGCAAAGCAGAGTGTCACATCTCTCTCCCAAGAAGCAGCTGGTAGGTTCAAACTGCTGAACTGTCAGATAGTTGCTGAGCAGTTTAAGCACTGCACAACGAGGGTTCCTTCTAATCAAAACCAAACCCAGTGCTGTTGAGTCAAGTCTGACTCATAACCACCACCTGGGGCAGAGGAGGACAACCTTCTGTGGTTCCCAAGGCTGCCAGTCTTTACAGGAGTACAAAGGCAAAACAACTCATTCATCACCTTTCGAGTGGCCTGTGGCATTGGAATTGACTCATAGCTGACTCTCCAGAAAATTTTCAAAGACTAAATTGTAGGAGTGGTATCCACTTCCATAATAGCTTGCCTCCGGAAACCCTATGAACCTGGAGAGAGGATGAAAGGCACCCAAGCATCGAAGACTCTCCTTCATAGGGTCGCTATGAGTTGCCTGCAACTCGACGGCACT